AAACAGATATCACATATATATATATATATATATATATATATATATATATATATATATATATGGACAGAGTGGCCAGAAAGCTTCCCATTGATCTTCTTATTTGCCCTACAAGTCGACGGAATGGTTGCCTTCAAATTACCGGACACTGTGTCTTCTTTTGTTATGTAATCGTTTTTATGAATTCAGTTTGGCTCAAGGAAGGAAGGCAAAAAAAAAAAAAAAAAAAAGCTGGCAAAATTTTTTTCATGCATGCAGTTCTAAGGCTGAGAAATTTCAGACTCAAAAGTGGGAAGAGACAGGAAAAGCAGGGTGACGGGAGGGTGCAGAACAACTTATTCCATCGCTCTTTGATTTGCAGAAACCTACCGGGCGAAAGCTGCGAGCATTTCAATCACACACCGGGTCTGACTGTACGTACTCTCACCCTGTAAGTGACTCTAATGAGGGGTTTCTTACCGTCATCCTCCAAACACACACTCCTTATAATGACATAATTAGACATAAGGACTAGCCAGTGCTGCAGCGATTTCCACATCTTGCATTTCTGCTGTTTGTTTGGACGAAATGACTCAAACTGCTCAGGTTGAGCAGAGGACGAAGAACTTGCGTTTGCAGTTCAACACACTGTCCCTGGCTGAAACTCCAGCCTACATGTAGGCGCACAGACGTGGTCACACAGCTGTGCAGACTGAATTGGGCTTGCTCTTCCTGTGCAGCAAGGTGTCTGCCTGGTCGTTTGTCATGCGAGGCATTGGGATGCAGGGGAGGATCTCAAAGGAGCAGAGTCGCAGCTCTTCGTGGCTCCCTGGCGGCTTTTTCTGTCTTTGATTCTCCAGCAGATACGCCACTGTTCTGAAATGCTTCACTTAGCTGGAATGAGAGAGGGAAGCTCAGCGAGCAGCCCTGCGAGGGTACAGCCTGCATTACCATGGGAAAAGTGTTTGTTTTTTTTCATCGATATGACTGATTGATTTCTATGTGCAGATGTGATTGTGAAAAGAATATTTTGATACCTGATCTGTCCAAGGTGTCTCCCGCCTCTTGTTCATTGACTGCTGGAGGTCCCCCTCCTCCCTCCTCACAACCCTGAGAAGGTGTAGCAAATAAGTGGACAGATGCATGATGGGAAAGCATCTCTTTAACGTCAGATCTCTTCAGACTTTATCAGTATTTGATCAAATTTAAAAATGAGTTTCTCATGTTTGGATGTCAAATGCAGAAAAAGTAACTTTTTTCTGATTGCAACATTGGCATACAATGGAAAATTTGTATATAAAACAAGCTAGGCAAGCCCAATTAAACTGGTTAAACAATCTAGCTCCTCCATCACATTGTTACGTATCTGTCTTGCATTTCTATGGTGTTTCTATGAAGATTCCAAGCTTTAAATCGTT